ACACTTTAAATATTCACAATATTTAGTAGTAGGTTGGCATTCACTATGCTATCCTTCGCGATTCTTCTGAATAGCATGGTGTCTGCTACACACTTGAAAGAAATTTTATGCAAATTTTGCAGGCAGCGACTGGCGATGAATTATGCCAGAAGCTTTTGTAATTTTCACCATCTCCCACTGTGGGCATGCACCACAGTTAATAGGTGAACAAGAACAAGCTTTTGTAATGGCTTGGAGCATTGGACGACGCACTCGTTATGCAATACGCATTGTGCAATGCCTGGATCTTCTTTAGCTATTCTAAAATGATTTCTCATTCATACTAACACAATTCCTTTCGCAACATCAAGCCTGCCTAAGGCAAGTTAGCAATGGAGTTTCAAGTAGCGGGATGGCTCTGCAGTAAAATACTGGGTTGGCATGCAGGGACCCTTCCGTTGTGTCCTTGGTGTTTTCATTTACTAAGCTTTTTTTTATTTCATGTGATAGTGGTTAACTATCATGTGACCCTTGTGATATCATCCCAGCTTTCGCTGTGAAAAAGAAGGGAGGACGCCGCATAAAGAGTTGCTGTCAGCAAACTTTTCTGACCCCGTTCTCTGCATCAATAACTCCCCCCTACTAACAAAACAATGCCTTCAAAAGCAAAAAGCTACAAATGCTAAAGTGATAACGCACAACAGCGACGCTCAACACACTAATGCCGTGTTCGGCTGCAAACGGTCTTCCCCATAACATCTGAGACTGGTCCATAAATAATGATTTCTGTGTGGTTGCAGTGGAGCCGTAACAGATAAGCATAAAAAAAGAGCGAAGGTGAGGTAGTCGGTGGTGATGAACCTGTTATTTTGACTCATCACCAACAACTTTACCACAGTCACCTGCTTGGCTGTCTATGTATAGTATGATGAGATTGACTTGAGCTGTTTGGTAGCAGATTTTTGGAGCAGCAAAAAGTGCATTTTGGAGCTGGAAAAGATTTTGGAACAGCCAAAAATGCGTTTTTGGGCAGCTTAAGGCTCTCTGCCAAGTGGGACACTGACCGTGCGAAGCAAAGCAGTGAACTAAGGAAGAACGCTTTTGAATTTAGATGCTTGGAGACGTTTGTATAGCATCACAAATTATTAATCCAACCTAATTTCAAATCTGCATTTTTTAATATGGGATGCAACCGACTACAAATTAGTGCTAGATTCTGGGCGCCGAAATTATGTAGGCAAGCAGTTATGTAGGAGAGCAGTAGGAGAGCAGCTTGGCTGTGGGGTCCGCTGCTGATGTGTGAAATGCCCGTCCACCGTTCTAGAGAGCTAGCGAATGATGTGCTTCATTGCCTGCAAAGAAGCACGTTTCCACAAGTGCGCTAGCGGGCTGTTTTCACCCGCTAAGTTCGTCTAGCCGTCAGCGGAGTCAGACCGAAAGACGACACCGGGGATGCGCCGTGCTCGTAGACCACGTGCCCACTCATGGTAATCTGATCGAGCATCTGGTTACATTTTCTAACTAAAGTGTAATTATATTTATAAGTGCTCGTCGAGCCGTGGACATGTCACGAAGTAGCTATTTTCGACAGCCATGTCCTTGTGACACACAAGCAGCAGATGACGATCTGCCGGAGCGAGCATCGGGAAAATCGCGAGGCGAGCTGGGGCAACATGGCGGCCACAGCCAATCAGGGGCCTCGAAATGACCTTCGAAGATTTTTGTTTTTTGTGTGCTTGTTTCTAAAGGGAGGAGCCAGCTGAGGTGGGAAATTTGAACACAGAGAAATACTCTTTTCGATGAGCCTAAGAAGCTGGCTCCTGGCCGCGCCATCCCGAAGCTATAATTTTCTGAAAACTGCTCTTCTTTCGCGATTTTCAGAAATATTTTCGCTATCTAGGAGGCCAAAATTAATTTTCCGAAGCACTTCTGCATAGATTTCAGGGTAGATATTTCGCAATCAGACAGAAAAAGGGCTCCAGAAACTGAAAACTTGATTTCCAAAAAATCTATTTTTTTTTTTGCCATTTCTTGATACGAAAGCCGTGTCCCCCCTTAATAGTTGTGCTAAATGTAGGTTTATCGTTGACAATAAGTTACAAAGAAGCTTTTAACTGGTTTGCTAGTTCACTGCCCTTCTAGCTATCAGCCGTTTCACACTGCGCTGCTGTCTTCTGTCCACCTGCCAAACACGATTAGCTTAGAGACGTTCCCAGTTCAAAGTGCATTTTCGGGGGGGTCACGCTAATTTACACCAGTCTGGCGACAATTGTCTGCACATCCCCATAATCAGTGTCCAGCCGTATCCCCCCCAGCCACACTGGGGCTTTTCGATTTTCCACTACTGGCTACTCACGAGCTGGCGACCCGCGGAGAGCCCGAGGGTCGCCAGCACTTCCAGGACAATTTAGGCGTGCAAGCTCTTTGGAAGGTTTTGCGCATGTTTCGGGCTAGCAGACACCGAAAAGGTACGGTTCGCGCTCGGGGCCATCCATGCGAGGAGTCGACCGATTGCAATGTGGGCGCTTGAGGACAGCACCTTCGCTTGTCATTACACATGGCGTTATCTTCTAAAGCCTGTTCAGCCTTGTGAGACGAGGTGATTACGAGTGGCGGCGAGTGTTTGCAGCTACTGTTCATCGCTTTTGTTATGTTTCCCGTGAAGCTTCCTCGTGTGAACAACGCGGCGAGCTGTTGCCTGCTAACTGCGTCGTGCAGATGCTTCGAAAGTTATGTACTACACTTTCGTACGCACACATGGAGACAACTTTGGATTGATTGATTGATACGTTGGGTTTAACGTCCCAAAACCACTGTATGATTATGAGAGACGCCGTAGTGGAGGGTTCCGGAAATTTCGACCTCTTGGGGTTCTTTAACGTGCACCCAAATCTGAGCACACGGGCCTACAACATTTCCGCCTCCATCGAAAATGCAGCCACCGCACCCGGGATTCGATCCCGCGACCTGCGGGTCAGCAGCCGAGTACCTTAGCCACTAGACCATCGCCGCAAGGCAGACAACTTTGGAGTTAATTTCTTCCTTTGTAGTAGTCATTTGTGGAGCCGTGACTGCCTTCTATGCACTTATCGAAAACAATGGTGGTCGGACTAGCTTTCTCCATCGTATGTTTGCGTGTGAACCTCTTAGAACTTCTGTCCTGACTATTCGACTGATCTTCGATGGTAATAGAAGGCCCTTGATCGCAACTGTTGGTGATGCCTGCTGGTCGCGAACGGCGTGCTAACCCATTTTTATCTATGAGCCAGCTTATGTGGTATGATATTATACGATACGGCGCAAGAAAAAAAAAGAGGGATAATTGATTTAGAAATGTATACGTCCTTTCGTTGCCCATTTCATCGTTGGTTTTGTCTTTTTTCACCTCTTCGTAATAATGCTGGGCAGTGTGTACTATGACCTAGTAGGTGAAATCAAAGCTGATATACATGACATTTGTTAAGTGCCGCTTAGGACGTAACACAGGCCCAGGCAAGTCCCAAAATGGATCGAAAACGTGCCATGCAAAACTTTATTTTATATACCATGCGCACTAGCGGCCCGGACACCTACGCATGTCTTAGACAAAAACTTAAGATGTTCATCGCGTGTTTGATAGCTGAGCAGGTCTATATATATCCTCCATCTCTTTTGGGGACACAATCACTTTCGCGTGATTTCGGGTTGTGTTGTGCAGTGACTGTTACATGTACTTAAAAAACGTGAGCTTGTTAAGCCGTCAGCGTCGTGGCAGCTCACCTTGCATCATTCTTAAGGAGGCATGCGCCAGCTGGCTGTTTCGTTCGTGGACGCAGAGAGTGATCGTGCGAGCGTACGAAGTCGTACCACAAATGCATACGCTTGAGGATATTATTTTAGCTTTTCGGTGAGCTTAGCTACGTATTTCCAAGCGGAAAATGCAGAAAAAAAAAAAACAATGCGCACGCGCCGGATTGTTTTGTTTGCTGCTATGACGGTAGAGATTGTTTATGTTTACGCTGGCTGTCCCAGCCTTCGATTTTGCGATCTTCGGGCTCACTACACACATGACCATGACGCTGTTTCCTGTCCGAACCGAAACTAGCTGACTGAACCTAGGGCTAGCTCTGGCTGCCTGAGAGCTGCCAGAGAGCTGCCAGAGAGCTGCCAGAGGCCTGAAAATCAGAGCCCCACTGATTTTTCTCCCACGTGGCAAGCTACCCCGCAACTGCGCGTTGTCGCCAGCAACGTGTTGCACTAGTTTTTTCGATAGTATTTTGTAATTAGGCACAGAAAGGAGAAAATGTAGTGGGATGTAGCAGGTTTCCCGCCTTGGCGCAGTTTGGCGCGATTGGCACAGCTATCGCATCACTGCATGGTACCGTGCTGTGTCACGACGATACGAGCACATCAAGCTGCCGTTTACAGGTTTACTGCCGCCACATTGTGCGAGACCGCTTGCGCATTGCATTGCTTGCAAAATGAATGCCTTCGTTGTTTTGAAGGAACAGCCCACTCGCTACAACCATGCACTGTGTGGAATGAAGCATGCATTAAGAGTGCACAAATGTGCATGTACAGCAGGCTGCAAGTGACCTTGCATGCAACATAGTGCACACAGCTAGCTAAGATGATTACGTGGTGGTACCATGCTTGAGTGAAATGTCAAGAGTTCACTGCAAACTTGGTTTCATGCAATCGTGAGCACAAAGCGGACGTTGCTCAACATGCAAAAAAATTTGTCTTGCCACTAAAGTTGTTGGCACACTTTATAAAAATACAAAGAAAAAGAATGGTTTGGTCGCTAATATGCATTTTGTGGAGAGCCGCTATACAACAAACTATTGATATATTGACCACTTATTGCAACATTGTAAAGTGATTGACAGTAATAAGTGAAGCAGTGAGTGGCGCAGCGACACGAGTACAGGCAATAAAAAGGTTCAAATCTGAAACAGTGTCGGTCCCTGAAGCAAGCCGAAAGCAAGATGATACCATGAGAAAAGACTAAATCTGGGCAGCTGGGTAGAAGTGGTGCCTACCCTTTGGTGTCAATCATGGGCGTGTCTTCAGCCGCATCTTTCATCTTCTCATCAGGTGAGCTCAACAATTCCTTGCTAGTTAGTGAAACAAAGAGGAAAGAAAGTGCCAAGAAAACAAAAAAAAACAAAGAAAAAATCGAATGTCAGTTCCAAATAAATAAATGCCAGTCAACACACATGCTCATCAAGCAGCACAACAAAAAAAAACTGACTGCATGGGCACGAAGCATCTACAGCTGCATGCTCTGCCAGGCCACTCTGACGTACACAAAAACAGCCACTGATGATACTGCGCTTTTAACAGAAATTCTACTTACCATTGAAATCTTTCTGACCATTCCTTTGTACAGGTGATCAAGAAGACAAGACCAAAACAACATTTGTGTCGGTAGCTGCTGAATATTTTCTTAATGCTAGCACCAATGAGCAGGCACATTGCAAGTCACAGGTTTTCGATAGCATTGACCACAAGCAACACGCTAGGCAATAGACACAGCTGAACTGCATGGCTGAGGACTACATGTAATGCGATTTGCACTTGGTTTATTGGCTGTCGATTAACTTAATGAGAGCATTATAGCACAGACTGAGGAAGAGCGGCAAGAGACAACAGGATGACAGACTTCACACTAAAGTTAAACCTGGCTATAACAAAACATAATGCAACTAATTACTCGATATAAAGTTTTTATATTTTCCCACCTTTACTCCATAGAAGCCCATGTAGGATTTGTGCCTTTTATACAACAAACTGGCAGCGCGAGACACCCTTAATATTTTCACCGATGACCCCTCGATAGACTTCGTTTTATTTCCGCCAGAAATTACAGTCAACTTGGGGTACTAACATTTTATAGTCAGATAAAACTTGAAAAGTCAGGCGAGGTCCCGCCCAGATGATCGAAGCACGAAAGCCGATCACCTCGGCGACTAAAAATAAGATAGTCCCGCCTTCGCTCTCTGCAGGCAGGGTGAATGGTCGTCCGGCTCATGACGTCAATGCAATCCCATAAAAGCAGCCATGTGTGGCATTTCCTCCTTTGAGGAGGGAGATGTAACCAACTATACATAATATTTTCTGCAATGCTCTAGAATCACATCTTGGTGGTTTTAAAGAGACACTAAAGGCAAATGACTATTTATGTCAGCTCAATGTATCCAAAATGACAATATTATCAAGCACAGTGTTTTCAAGCCAAATGTATCACACGACACGCCATGGGTGGGGGACATTTGCGAAATTATCCCTATGAACTGTACGTACACTCGGAACACCATTATAACAAATTTGCACCTACGGTATCCAAAAATTCGTTATGAAAGTATATTCCTAACACAGTATCTATTGCAAGACTTACTTCATTATATCCGGCTTTTCCATACTGAGGTTGGAGTGTAATAAAATGCTGCTACCCCATTTCTGTTTGGTTTATATATATTGCCGCGACGGGTTCCCCACGTTCAAGTAGCCTGCCACAATCATCCTGGCACTAGCAACAGCAAGACCCGGCTGGCATGCCCCACGCGTTCATGCGCTCCGGCTACAAGGAAGAGAAAGATAGTTGGATCTATGCCACTCGGCTACTCGGACTTGACGACCATAGTTTTTAGAATCGTGGGCACAAGTTCGCCCTAATAAAGACGCTTGCTTTTTTTTAACCTGTCTGCCTCAGCATTGCTACATTTCTGGTGGAGGCGCTGGGTTATGAATCGAAGCCCCGCGAGCTCAAGACAGCGTAGCCCCGACGACCAGTGTATCAATCCCGTGGAAGTGACTCCTGTACACCAGAGAGCAAGTTGCTGTCTTCGAGGTGACTCACCTGAGTTCGGTCCTCTTCACTTCACACCAAGGGGAATTCAAACGATGGATGCCACCACTATGACTAGCCAGGTAACACCGGCACAAGTGTTCATTAGCCAACCGCAACAGCCGCCAGTATTCCATGGCGACTCGTACGAGGACGTGGAAGATTGGTTGGACCTGTTCGAGAGAGTGGCGAGCTTGAATGGATGGGACGAAAGAGAGAAGCTCCGTCGCGTATACTTCGCCCTGGAAGACTTCGCAAAGACATGGTTTGAGAATCATGAAACCTCGTTGTCTACCTGGGAGACATTTCGACAAGAAGCGGTGGCTACGTTCGCGAACATAGACTGGAGAAAAAAGGCGGAGGCTGCTCTTCAATCGAGGAACCAGCTCACAAACGAGAGTGCTGCTATGTACATTGAGGACATGGTCCGTCTGTTCAAGCGTGCGGATTACAACATGGCTGAGGATAAGAAGGTGCGCCATCTAATGCGCGGAGTGAAGCAAGAGCTGTTCGCCATTCTCGTTCGCAAACCTCAAGCACAGTTGCCGAGTTTTACTCGGAAGCGACGGCTATCGAAAAAACACTGGAACAGCGGGCTCGACAGTACAACCAGAATCTTAACTGCGCATCTGCACAGGTATTCTCCGGAGGCGTGCGAAACGACGTTGAAGCCCTGCGACAGCTCATTAGATCAGTTATTAGAGAAGAACTGAGCAGACTGCAAATGCCCCAGACTCCAACTGCACTATCTGTTACGGACATGGTTCGTGATGAACTGAGGCAGGTGATACGAGAGCCAGAGCGCGAGCTGCAGCCAGTTCGACCTATTCGAACATACTCTGAGGTTGTCAGACAACCCACGGTACACAGCAATGCAGCAGTTGCGATGGCGACAACTCCTCTCCCACCTGCAGCACGCAGCGCACCTCGTCCACGGGAACCAACAGCTACCTATCTGCCCCCAGAAGCACGTAGCACACATCACTATGTGGAGTGTAGGCCCAGGAAATGTGACGACTGGCGTGATCACGAGCGCAGGCCTCTGTGTTTTCATTGTGGGGAAGCGGGTCATCTGTACAGATTCTGTCTTTACCCACAGGCTGGATTAAGAGGCTTCCCGTCGCATGCACCGTGCCCCCGAAACGGCGAACGACTAGCGGAGATTAAGGAGTACTTGTCCACGCGCCAGAACTCGCCACCTCTATGCCAACATCGGTCACGGTCACCATCGCCTATGCGCTACCGGTCATCCAGCCCACGTGCACCTTCAACGCAGCCTGGTGATCGCTCTCAAAGTCCACTCCCGGAAAACTGAAGCAAGCGACCTGTGGAGGTGAGGCCGCTGATAACGTCAGTTACGAAGGTCCTCCAATAGGGTTTGAGGGCGATGACGGTGTATTTTCGGTAGATGGGTGCAGCAACGAAAACATTACTTCAGATTTGCAGTTGAGAATGGAAGGATGGGAGCTGAATGCCTTAGTCGACACCGGTGCTGATTATTCAGTGATAAGTGACAAGATGGTGAAAAAGCTAAACAAAATTGTGACAAAGTGGAGTGGATCGCAGATACGCACGGCAGGCGGTCACATTATTACGCCCCTTGGCAGACGCACTGCAGGACTTGAAATACGGGGCTTTATTTACGTGGCCGATTTCATTGTGTGCAGAATGCTCAAGGAAACTCATTATAGGAATGGATTTTTCGCGAGCTAATGATGCCGTAATTAACCTGTGTAGGTCCAGGATGTCGTTTTGGACTGAACGAGCTATACCGGTGGAGGAATCTGAGGAACGATGCCGAACTGCTCTACGGGTTGTTCATGATGACGTAACTGTGCCGCCACGCTGCAGTATAATGGTGCTCGTAGAAAATGACGCATTGTACAACCGTGAAGGCATAGCGGATACAAATGTAGGGCTGTTTTTGAACAAAGGTGTCTGCGTAGCTAAGGGTCTTGTTCACTTGACGAATGGCTGTGCAGATGTCCTACTCACAAATTTCTCCAATGAACTTCAACACATCGCTCAAGGCACGGCTATTGCCTATTTACACGACTTCTGTATGGCGACTGAACTATGCAGCTTAACGACATCAACCACTTGACCAGTGGTCCGCAACATCGACACATTTGTGACCGTCAACCAGAGCCTTCCGGACAGTCAAAAGAAACAGAATTATGCCTTGGTAAAAGAACTCTCTGATTGCTTTTCAAGTGCCCTGAAGGTTTAGCGCACGTTAACCACGAAGCACGGAATTATAACGCAAGACGACACGAGGCCTATATGCCAGCATCCACATCGGGTGTCACAGAAAGAACGGGAAATTATCAAGAAGCAAGTGGAGGAGATGCTTTTGGATGATGTCATCCAGCCTTCGAATAGTCCATAGGTGTCCCTTGTAGAGCTCGTTAAGAAGAAAGACAACACACATTCTGTGTCGACTACAGAAAACTGAACAGTGTAACTAAACGAGATGTCTAAACCTTGCCACATATCGACGATACACTAGATCGGTTGCGATCCGAAAAGTTTTTCTCCCCCTTAGATCTGAAAAGCAGATATTGGCAAATAGAGGTCGACGAGCGGGACCGTGAAAAAACGGCATTCGTAACACCAGATGGCCTTTACAAATTCAAAGCGCTTCCATTCGGCCTCTGTTCCGCACCAGCGACGTTACAACGAATGATGGATGCTGTCCTCGCGGGATTGAAATGGCAGTTATGCCTAGTGTATTTGGATGATGTGGTGGTATTCTCTGCAACAATTGACAAACACCTAGAGCGACTACGCACAGTATTGGAAGCCATCCGGTCAGCAAAATTGACAATCAAACCCGAAAAATGCCACTTCGGCTTCGAAGAGCTGCGATTCCTTGGACATGTCATTAGTTCCGATGGTGTTCGTCATGATCACGAAAAGACAGCCACTGTTCAGAGGTTCCCTACACCCAGAGACAAAAAGTCAGTGCATCAATTGTTGGGTTTATGTGCCTACTTTAGGCGATTTGTGGAAAACTTCTCAAAGATAGCGGAACCTCTTACAAAACTAACAAAAGACGGCGTGCCCTTCACATGGGAAAGTGAACAACGGAAATCTTTTGACGAATTAAGAAAACAACTACAGGGTTCACCAATACTTGCTCATTTTGTTGAGACAGCCGACACTGAAGTCTATACCGATGCCAGCAATGTCGGCCTCGGCGCCATCCTTGTCCAGTGGCAAAATGGTCAAGAGAAAGTGTTGGCCCATGCCAGCCGCAAACTATAA